TCCCTTCTGACCCGGGAGAGCCGTGGGTCAGGGCAGGACAGGGCCCACAGGGTCGTGAGTGGCTTTCTTTGAGGCGCCTCTGGGGGTGTCGAACTCCCAGCCTCTCCACAAGCAGTCCAGCACGCCACCAGCCATTAACATCACCCAGGGCTCCCATGATCCTCCAGGCACACAGGGTTCTTCTTGGATCCCCCTTCATGGGGGTTTCTGGACCCTTGGAACTTGGGAGGGAAGTTTTGCATCCGGGCATGAGGGTGTCAGAGCACTGGGGGGGCAGGAGGCTGGGTCCCTCAGATAGCAATGAAAACTTCTGGCTTCGTGGTGTGGTGCAAAGGCCAAGGCCCTCCTCCATGAGGGTCTGCTGGGGGATTGGGGAGCCTCATGCTGGGGGGGAGGGTAACACTTGCTCAGAGGCACTCATGGAGCTCCACCCCCATTTAGAAGGACAACTCAAGACCCAGGTGCCTGAAGGGGCCAACAAGACAGATCCCCCCAAAGACATGGAGCAAGACACGGGGCCCAGCACTCACTGGACTGGGCCGCTAAGCGAAGGGCATACTCGCTGCCACTCAGGAAGGTCTCGGAGAACTCCTCGCCAGTCAGCCGGATTCCCTTGGCAGCTAAGAAGCTCTCTCCCAGAGGGAACCGAGAACTGTTGGAAGCTGAGACGACCGCTTCCGTTTCCCGAATGAACTGCAGGACTCGAAGCTTTGCTCCCTCACAGGAGCCGGGGCCTGCAGGAATGAAAGCACTAGAGATGGACCCTCGTTCCACACAGAGCTCCCGCTGCCCCTGCCAAGTGTGCCTGTCCCAGACCAAGGCAGGAGGTCCACCCCTTGAAACAGCACGCTGGTGAGGTTTAGAAGGCACTAGAGAAGGAGCCTTCATGGTGCACAAACCAGGAGCAGCTCCACAGGCGGAAGCCTGGCCTCTCTGTTCCACGAAGAGTTACCACCTCAGAAACAGTTACCATCATTGACTCAAGGATGGAGTGTGCTTGTTGGAGTTTTCTTTGGGGGGTTGGGGGGAAGGTAACTAAGAAGAGTATTGAAAATATCACAGACATTAAAAGGACAAACTGATTCATCTTGGAAGAAGTACAGCCAGAGCGCTTCCTAGAGGCAAGGGTGGCAAGACTTGGTCTTACGTACGTTGGCCGTGTTGTGGGGGGAGACCGGTCCCTGGAGAAGGACCTCCGCTTGGCAAAGCGGAGGGCAGTGAAGGAGAGGAAGGCTCTCGGGGGGCGAGAGGGGCTGACACAGCAATGGGCTCGGGTGTGAGCAGGGCTGTGCAGACGGCACAGGATGGCGCAGTGTTTTGTTCTGTTGCGCATGGGGTCACTATGGACCAGAGGCGACTCAAGGGCATCTCACGGTGGCAAGGGGTAGCTGAGAAAAGGGAGGGGTTGGGCTGCTACCCACCGAGGCCGCATTTGGAAACGGCCGGCCACACGGCGTGGGAAAGACAAGTCTTTGGTTTCCATCAATACTTACACAGGGTCAACTCTACTCAGTCTATGGGTCACGGTGAGTCAGAAGTGCCTGGATGGCAGGGAGCGTTTCGGAGGCAACTGACATAGCCCTCACCCTTGGGTCCATGTGGGCATTGACTGTCGCTGCCATCGCTCCTCACCCTGTGGCCCGAGACTGGGCTGGCTCCCAGTGAGCCCACAGGACACGGGTTCCTGGGCTTACAAGTCTTTATGGAAACTGTCTGCTGCTTCTTTCTGCCTCAGAGCAGCCAGTTAGTTCAACGCTTGCCAACCTCCTGGTGAGCAGGCTTTCCAAATGCTTGACCACTGGCTCCTTCATAGTAACCCAGCTGTGAGGAGCCCTGCTGGCATCGTGGGCATGCGTTGGACTGCTAACCACCAGGTCAGCAGTTCAAAACCACCAGCTCCCTGGGAGAAAGGCAGAGCTTTCTAGGAGTTGCCCTCGCAGAAACCCACAGAGGCAGGCTGGCCTGTCCTCTAGGGCCCCTTGTAAGTCAGAGATGACTGGATGGCAGTGAGTTTTTGTTCGGGTTTGGTTTGGGGTTTTTGAGTTGTATTATCGGTGAAGTGCTGTCTAGGTACTAGGCCCAGCCCATTGCATCTGCCACCTTTTAGAGTTCTCACTACACCACGTGGAGGCTGTCATGGTAACTCAGGTCTGACAGACCAAACTAAGACTCGGAGATTCACCCACATGTGGCCAGCAGGACAGAGACTGGGCTTTCTACGTCCATCAAGAGGTACAGTCTCGGAATTCCCCGGGGCAGTTCTGCCGTCCTCTAGGGATGCTGTGAGTCGGCATCCTCTCGATGGCAGTGAGTGGAGCTTAATTGTCTTTAGTTGACACAGCAGCCGGAGGAATCAGGATTCAAGTCAGTCAGGACTTTGTCCCCTGAGCCAAGGCCTCTCACTGAGGATGGGGGATGGGGGCCGGTGGGGAGGGGGGATGTAGGTTTGGACCATCAGGTGGGCCTCCGATTCTAGCCCATTCCCAGGTGCTGTTTGAGCTGCTAGACCACCCCGTGGGTGTCAGACTCAGATATTTCCGATCCTGTGTCGCCTCAGTAACAGGCCTTCAGTGTGCAGTCCCCCCCACCCCCCATTGTGTGTGCATCTCTGTGAGGCTTGGGCATGTGCACCAATGGAGGATGCTAGGTTCCCCTCCGTCAGTTGTTCCAGCTTCCAGGAAGGACACAAGCAAGAACGTGAGAGCCAGTGATAACACCAAAGCGAGACGCTGCTGCTCATTGGCAGCCATCGACTCTACGTACAACAGAGCAAAGCAGCGCCCGCTCCCATGCCATCCTCACAACTGTTCTATGCGTGAGCCCGCTGGCAAGCCAAAAACAAAAGCCTTACCGCCATTGAATCCACTCCAAACTCATAGCGACCCTATCGGACAGGGTAGAACGGTCCCTGCAGGTTTCTGAGACAACAACTCTGTACAGAAATAGAAAGCCTCATCTTGCTCTCAAGGAGCTGCGAGTGGTTTTGAACGGTGGACCTTGTGGTTAGCAGTCCACTGTGTCACCCACCACATGGTCGGAGTTCCTGGGGCCCATGGGTTGAGGTGCTCATGTCTGCTCTCCGACGGATGGTTCTGGGGACTCTGGTCACTCCCTCCACAGTGCCTGCCGCTACTCTCCGGTCAGGATATCTGAAAGCCTACTTCTAAGAACGCTCTGCCCAGCAGCCAGACCGAGGGCACCAAGAGGAGCCACTAAAGTGACTGGCTCCTCCGGGTCTCGCCAACACGCTTTTCAAACCACGTGCGAAAGGCCCAGATTGAGTCATGTCGCGTTTAGGTGTATGGCCACGGGTCTCACACAAACAAGACCGCTAGGGCAGCAGGCACGTTGACATGGCTAAGCTGACGTTGAGGGGGAGACCATGGCTAGAACTTGATTTTCATGGGGAACCCTCCCAGTGTCAAGTCTCCCAGCATCCAGAATGCTCAGGGTTCCACTGTTCCCCTCAAGAAGAGGGATTGACACAGGGGCTGGAACAAGGGGCTTAGCCACCTGATTGTTTCATTCTGTCATCCAGAGGACCATGATGGGGCAGCTCAATGACCCCTCACAACCAAAGGACACTGTTTGTGTCGCATGGTCCTGTCACCCACGTCCTGAAAATCCAGCCGCTGCCTAGATAGGTGACACGCTGGTCACACGTTGGGCTGCAATCCGCAAGGTCAGCAGTTTGAAACCACCAGCCCTCCCCATCAGGAGAAAGAAAGGGCTTGCTCTTCCTGTAGAGTTACAGTCTCGGAAGCCCACAGGGGCAGTTCTGCCCTGTCTTATAGGGTCGCTAGGAGTTGGCACTGACTCGGTGGCAGGGAGTTGGGTTGGGGCTGCCTAAACCTCTGGCAATGTTGAACACGGCAAAGGGTGACTGGAGGCAGGGCACTGCCTGCTGCTCTCTAGGGGTCTCGTTAGCAGCTGCTACTCCGAGGATCCAGTGTGCCAGCAGCAGGTGGAGTCTCCCTGGCTACTCCGATGCTAAGACGCACAGTCAGCATCGCTCCACGTAGCCATGCCTGTAGGCACTGGGCTGCTAACCTCCCTGACGGTGGTTCAAGCCCACCAGCTGCTTGAACCCTGAAAAGACGAGGCTGTCTGCTCCCATAGAGATTGACCCATCTCAGAAGCCTCACCCAGGGCCTCTAAGTGTTGGGATCTACTCATTGGCAGTGGGTTTGGGTGTTCTTGATCTATTTATCCCCTTGCTTCCTTAGCTCAGCCCACTGGGGACATATTTTCTGGGGAGCTGTTGAATGACCCTCCTGAGTGTTCTGTGCAAGGAGAAGCCCCAGACGGTGGCTGATGAATGCAAGGGTGCAACTCTCATACCGATGTTGCCAGCGGTGCCATAGCAGGGCGAGTGCCGCCCAGGGCAGGCTCACCTTGGTGACCTTCCGCGAGCTCACAGGGCACGTCATCCTCACCATCAAGCTCACGAGAATTGGGGGCATTCACTTCCATCATGCTATGAACCACGTTGGAAGGAACCACTCTTACTAGGAAGCGGCTGGCCATCCCTATGCCCAGCTGCAGCTGGGGCACCCCCGTCTCTGCAGCCGGACAGCCTGGTGAATGTCTTGTTAAAATCAAAATCACTCCATGCTGCACAGACATGTACTCACATGCTGGAACCGCGCCCGGCTGGACACGCGTGCCTTCCAGTTCCTGCCCAGCCTCATCCACACACCAGCAGCTCCTCAGGTCCGAGTGGGCCAGCAGCAAGCTGAAATCTGAGTAGGGCCCTGGGTACCGGTGGAGCTGGCCGCTCAGCATTTCCCAGAACACATGGGGTTCCAAGAGGATGTTCCCCCCAGTCTGGGTCAGGTTGCCTTCTAACACTCTCTCGGGGACGTCGTGGAAAGTGGGGTATCTTGCCAGCCCCGGGAAGATGTCTTGCTGGCCAGCCTCATACAGGCGTTGGAGAAAGAGATGGAAGCTGCCGGAAGCCATGTCCCTGTAGCTCCCGATGCTCTGAAGCAGTGCCTGGAGCGTCAGCTCCGGTCCACTGCCGTTCTGAGCGGCCCAGCGCTGGTACCATTCAAAGGCCTGCTCGGGGGGCCCGTCGCATTGCACGGGCCCCCACCGCCCATCGGCAGTGCACTGTGGGATGTAGATGCTGGAGAGCGTGGGTGGCAGGCTGGTGTCTGAGAGCAAGGTCTGCACCGTCCCCAGGAAAGCCTGCTCTGCCTGCAGCTGGCAGGGTGTGGGGCCTGCAGGGGAGAGAGCACGGTGTCAGTTCAAGCAGCTAAAATCCCACTGGCATCGAGACAATTCTGACCGTTCTGAGCCACCCTGCAGGGCAGCGGAGAAGTGCCCTGTGCATTTCCAAGCCGTCGGCTTTCTCCTGAGGAGCGACTGGGGATCCCTCCATCAGCAACCGAGGCTCAGCCAGGGCACCAACAGGACTCCGCTGTAAGTAGCCTCAAACTCACTCCCACTGACCTGGAGTTGATGCTGACCCATAGGATAGGGTGAAATGCCCCCCCGCCCCCTGTGGGTTTGGGAGATGGTCACTCTTTCCAGGAGTAGAAAGCCTCATCTTTCTCCCCAGGAGCAGCTGCAACCTCTACTGGCGACCTTGTGGTTCACAGCTCAGCATGCACGTGGCCCACTATTCCACCAGGGCTCCATGTAATTGCCCGAATTCCATTGACACCTGACCCGGCTGTGGACATCCCAACCCGTGGGCTGTCGAGTCAGCTCTGGCTCACAGCAGCCACACAGGACTAAGTAGAGTGCCCCACCCCCACCCCTGGGTTCCCCAGATGGTACTCTGGATAGGAGTCAGGGAGGACATCTCTCCACCACTGAGGAGCTACTAAGTTTGAGCCACCAAACTTTTAGCTGGCTGGTGACTGCTTGAACCAGTGCTCCACCAGAGCTCTGATGGACAACTCATCGTCCATAAACTCACCGAGCCCCCCTGAGAGCTGCCACCATCTGAGCTGCAGATGTGGGCCGTGGCACTTTGAGCCAAAGCCCTCACCCCTTCCCCCCAGTAGAAGGGTGACGGCGGCCAGAAGGTTTACATCCAACTGCTTCTGTTGCTCGGAACTGACATTTGGGCCTTCGCTGAGCGGATGTTTTCTTCTGCAACACTCGATGCCAGGGTTCAGGGAGGGCCGGGAGAGTCTACAGGTTTACTGCAGGTCCTACTCAGTGGTGCAGCACTCTATGACTAACCCAAAGCTGTAGGTTCAAAACCACCTCTGTGCACCTTGACAGACAGGCCTGACACTGGTTTCCTGAAGGGCACAGCCTTGGAAATCCCCTGGGAAGAGGGGAAGCTAAGGATGGGCAGGGATGACACATGCCCTACAAACTCCTGTTTATAGTCAGTGAAATGCTGTCTAGCATTCACTTCTTGGAAACTGTGCGTTTGGGGGCTGACATTGCAGCAGGTGTATGTAAAAGGTGGCTGCCTGGAGTTGGGGCAGGGGCCACTTTCTGTGCTTGCCCTGGGAGCCCTTTCCTGCAGGCCTGCCTCTGTCAGTGGGGAAGTTATGCTATGCACACCTAGCATTGCCATGAATCAACAATCAACAACAACGACACAGAGTGAGCACCCAAAGGGCTTACATTGTTTAGGTTCTCCAGTTATACTTCTAGTTCCAGGGATAGCCTGACCCTTGGCGTCCACACAGTAGCACTCTGAGTTGAAGCACTGGACAGGTAGGAAATGCCCTTCGCTGGTGCAAGACGGGATGGGTAGGCTAGACCCAGCGGGCTGGCTACCCATAAGGCTTTGCATTCGTGCCCTTTGCTTTTCACAGTCTGTGGGGCACCTCGGTCGCCCGCCTCTAACTCTCGAGCCAGGAAGTTCTGTGCCCTGGGAATCCACACACCAGCACTCCCCACCAGAGCACTGGATATCCTGGTAGCCTCCTTCTGCTGAGCATGATGGGACAAAAAGGCTTCTGGGTGGCTCCTTACAGGCTTGAGAGCTAAGCACTATTTCCATCACATCCCCTAAATCCTGGGCAACATCCTCTGGCACAGAAATCGCATGCTGTAGGAAAAGAAGGAATTCTGGCAGCTCCAGGAGAGAAGCAAGGAATTTTAGAGCATTCTGGTTTTCCTGCAAGTTAACTTTGAAGCCAAAGCTGCCCACAAGTGGCAGATTCATAGTCTTCTCAGAGGTTTCAGGGGGTTCCGCAGCAAACTTTGAATCAGATCCCTCAGAGAGCTGCTTGGTGACATCCCCGAACCCCTCCTCAATCCTGAAGCCAGGGAGGCCGAGTTGCTGGAAAAAGTTACTGAAGTTAAAAGTGCCTCTTGTGCCAAGGGCTCCAGACAAATTAAACTGGCCAACGTTCACCAAAAATTTCCCTCCAAAGAGGTTCTGCTGAAGTCGCTTGGGGTCAGTGGTGAACCGTAGAGCCAGGCGCGCCAGCTCTCTGGAGGGGAAAATCGCCCTGACAGCCTCTTTGAGAAGACTTGGTGAGGCCGGGGGCTGTTTATCCTGTGCTTCCAACATGGGGCCAAGCAGGCCAGAGTCAACAAACAGCTCCCTGAACAGGGGTGGGCAGGACGTGGAGAATCTAGTCACGTGCTGAGAGGCCCGTCTCTCCTCCGGTGAAAAAAACAAATTGTGCTGGCTGAAGTGGCCAGAGGGCCCGAAGAAGAGTCGAGACAAGGCCTGCTGCCTTTCGGACACACAGGAACGGTCTTCAGCTGTGTGGAGACAAAGAACACAGGAGAGATGGTGTTAATCTCACAAGCAAACATGAGGCAAACTCCCCTGGGGTCTTTCTTGTAGCAAGAAGCCAAGAGTCCGTGGAGAACAGCTACAGCCATGTCTCTGCTCTTTCCACCAGGGGCTTCCCCACCGAGCCTCATCTGGGGCAGATGTACATGTGGGGAAGTCAGTCTTTTGACTGGCAGGAGTGCCTCTCTGCACTTCCACTAGAGCTTGGCCCCTGCCTAAAGCCAGAATCATAGACTGAACGCCCCCCTGCTTTCTGATAATCTGACCATTTAAAAGAGTACTAATGAGGCCCTTCCGACTCGGCGGGGTGACTGTGTGTGTCAGAGGGGAACTGTTTTCCCGTAAGGCTTGTGATGTCTGCAATGGTTGGGGAAATACATCACCAGGTGTTTCCTTCAAGATACCTCTGGGTGGACCAGAACCACAGCCTTTTAGGGAGCAGCCGGCTACTTCACAGTATGCAGCACTCAGAAAGCAGGTTCACGGCCCCCAAAAGACCCTACCGGTAGTTTGCCAAATGTTCTCTAGCATTCTCTTCTTGGAAATCGGAATAGGGTATCATGCTCAATTAGATGTTCTTCTGTGTGGCTCCCAAATCCCCCCTAGTGGGATAATCTGTGTGGGCTCTACCTTTATGGTTGTGTGTACCCATGGGGTCAACCAGATTCACAAGGGCTCTAAAGACCCAGGAGAACATCCCCATAAAGCTCCCTTGCTGTAACCTTCACCGGCACAGACCGCTGGGTCTTTGCTTGTCAGCCAGTGTTGGCTCGGCAGCCCCCGGGGGCTTCACCAGGGCCCCCACAGTTCTTTGCAGATTCACGAGTCTAGAGGTTCTGGAGGACAAGAACCCTGCTTTGACCGCTATTTATACTTCCCATAAAAGATCAATCACGGCCCACCAGAAGACACCTGCCTCCTGCCTTCCTGACCTGCCCTTTAAATCAGGAAATAAACTGTGCTCAACTCCGACAAGACTGTGCATCACATGAACACAATAATAACGAAAACAATAATACATTCAAACACTACTCGTGTGTTATTTGTTACTATCAAATAATGATAATAAGTTCAAATATTGTTTAGGTATTATTGATGATTACTAAATAATAAATTCAAACACCCACTAATCCTCTCCACTGAGATGGGAGTGAGAGAGCTCCATTTTTTCTCCACTGAACACAGCAAAACGTGGAGAACCGCTTCAGTCAGCCTTCCCCTACACCTTTTAAATCATTCTTTCCTTTCTGTTCATGTGGACGCCAAGAAGGAAGCCAGCCAATTTCCCTCTGTGACCGGGCAACAGAGAACCTGGAACATGTGGTCGGGCGGAGTGGGGTGGGGGAAGACTGGCAGAACACATAGCACGTCCCTCGGCAAGCCATGGTTTCCTGCGAGGGATACTATAGGAGAGGATGGAAGAAATCAAGTCCATTGCTTTGCTCATTCCCCTTCCAAATTAAGAGCACATCCCTTCCAACCATGTGTTATGGAGTGTTGCCAAGACAAAGGAATTCAGATATTGATTCCATAAGACATGTGTGTTCACGGAAGTAGCACCCTCCAAAGCCCTGGTGGAGTAGCAGGTTACCAGTCGGACTGCTATCAGCAAGGTCAGCAGTTTGAAACCACTAGACGCTCTGAGAGCAAAAGAGGCTTTCTACTCCCATAATAAGTGGCAGGCGTGGACACCCACAGAGGTAGGTCTGCCTTGCTCTATAGGGTCGCTACGAGCTGGAATCAACTCGACGGCCGGGAGTGTGCAATAGGACCTGCACTTCCAGAGCAGGAAATGGAGCATTCCTGCTTCTGGGAGACCTGGTTTTCATTGGGAAAACCATAGTTCTTCATTTCCATCTAGACTCGGGAGACACAGTCATCTCTAGGTGCTAATAAAATTGAAATAATCCTCCTACAGTTCCAAGGTGACTATAAACACTCTGAAGACAGACTCGGCACTTTCTCAGTCTGCATCCTAACCCTTGGCAGGTATCGGCCTTCCAAATACCACGTCTCCAAACGGACTGCTTCCCACTCGTAGGGCCTCTGTGGCCAGGGTGGGGCTGCCTCTGTGTTCCAGTCTCAGAAGCACCAGGCTCTGGTTCCGAGGTGCCATCCAGCTGGTGCTGACTCCTGGCGACTCCTCGTACAACGGAGCGAGACCCCGCCGGGCCCTGCTCCAGCCTCACAAGTGTGGTCGTTCTAGCCCATTGTTGCAACCACTGCACCAGTCCATCTTGTCGAGGGTCTCCGCTTTTTCACTGCCCCTGGGCTTCACCAAGCATGATGCCCTTCTCCAGGGACTGGTCTCTGCGGACCGAGTAGAGGCAGATTGGCCTATCTTGCCATTGTGGTTGGCATCCCACGGTACTTTCCACAGTCTTTGTGAGCACTGTGCTTCAAACGCATCAATTCTTCTTCCATGCTCCTCACTCCATGCCCGACTTTCACATGCATACGAGGTCATTGAAAATACCGTGGCTTGGGCCAGGGGCACCTGAATCCTCACAGTCACCTCCTTGTTTTGGCACACAGTACACAGGTCTTTTTTGTGCATCAGCGTTACCTAATGCATCCTTTGGTCTCTTGACTGCAGCTTCCAGGAGCACTGATTGTGGATCCATGCCAGACGAAATCCTTGACCACTTCAACCTTTTCTCCATTCATCGTCATGTGCCCTAAAAGTCCAGCTGTGAGGATCTGGGTCTCCTTGACATTGACCTGTCATCCGTCCTGAAGGCTGCAGCGCTTGGTCTTCATCAGCAAGAACACCATGGAGAATTTTCAAAATGTCCAGTTGGAGAGACGGAATGGGTCCACAGGACAGATTTTGTGAGCATCCATATCTTTCTACCTCAGCTTCATAAAAAGACCTGGCATTCTCCCACATGGTCACCAACCTTAATGAGCCCAGCCACCCCACCATGATGGCAGCCTGTGAGCATCTGGAGGTGCTTCCTCCCCGTCACCACTAACGTCCCCTCCAGAACCTTCCAGAAGGGATGGGATGGAGTCTCACTAGACTACCCAGTTACTGTCCTCCATCCGTCCCCTCCCGCCAGCCTACTGCTCCTGCTTTAGGGTGATTCCCATCATCTCTCTCCTGGGCACCACAGGGACCTGGGGGTGGGTCCCGTCACCCCCAGAATGCTGCTCCTCTAACATCGTTGTTCTCGTGCCAACCCTTGCCGGCTTTCTCCGGCTTCCAAGCCCCAGCACCCACAGCCGACCTCCAGGGTGACCGTTGTTGATCCAGCTGTCTTTCATCCTGACCCCAGGCCAACTTCATTTTCCACCCCATCCTTCCTGCAGATTCAGAGTGACCAGCGGAGGACCAGCCCCTGTAATGTGTGTCATCTGAATTTTGCGTGCTCTGCTCCAAGTGTCACCCCTTCCCGAAGGAAACGTCTTTCTTTGGGGCACCTCTTCCTGGTGCCAAAAACATAAGGACAATTGTGAGGACGGCACAGGACCGGGCGATGTTCTGTTCTGCTGGACTTCAGGTCTCTATGAGTCAGAACTGACTCGAGGGCATCGAACACCATCGCCTCCACCACCACCACCACCACCACCACCACCACCACCACCACCACCACCACCACCACCACGTGCCTCTGAGCCCTGAGGGTGTCGCCCATTGCGCACTGGGCTGCTAAGTGCAAGATCAGCAGTTCGAACCCATCAGCTGTTCCATAGGAGAAAGGTGCGGCTCTCTACTCCTGAAGAGACTTACAGTCTCAGAAACCCACCGGGGCAGTTGTACTCAGTTTTTCAGGTGGCTCTAGTGCCACCTCCTCCCTGCTGCCTTCCTAAAAGTGTCTTCTTCATACAGCCTGGGTGATAGACATTCCCCCTCCTTGCTTCAGTTGCCAGGAGCCCTGGTGGTGTAGTGGGTTACACACTGAGCTGCCACTCACAAGATCGGCAGTCTGAATCCACCAGCCTCTCCGAGAGAGCAAGATGAGGCTTTCTGCTCCCACAGAGATGCACAGCCTCAGAAATCCAAGAGGGCTCTTCTACCCTGTGCTGTAGGCTCACTCAGACTCAGACTGGACCCCGTGGCAGGGAGGGGGCGTCAGCTGCCTGCCAACCTTCAGTCTCTTCTCTTTCCCTTGACACCACCCCACCCCCACCCCCAGCGGAAGCAGCCGTATCTGCTGCAGAATGAGCAGCACACTGGACAGGAACGCAGAGAAACTGAGGCTCGGTCATGCTGAGGTGCAAGGACCAGGGAACCCCCTTTGGAGGCAGCTGAGCTGGCCAGCTGGGGGCCTGGAGGGACAGTGAAGGCCGGTGGCCTGAGGGGACCCAGGAGGTAGCTCTGGAGAAGAACACACCACAAGGAGGCGATCCCGCTGGCCGCCGAGACCCCGGGACCTCCGTCCCTCGGGCGTCCACACACCAGCAGGGCCCTCCCTTCTGGCACTGCGCTGGCTGGTAGTCCCCGCTGCGGCTGCAGGCCGGCACGTATGGGTGGCCAAAGCTGGTGGCTGTGAACTGCTCCACCTCGCATTTGCTGGGGCCTGCAACAAATCCAAGGCAGGAGGGGAAACAGTGAGACAACCTCGCTGCTGGGCACACTCCCAGTGCCATGCCCCTGGCTCACAAAAGTCCCTCAAACCCCTTCACCCTCCTCAGAGCAGCCTCAGAGAGCATGTGGACTTGGCGATCCATGGACCCCCGGCCTCCCCCCAATGCCCGCCCTCCGTGGGAGAACCATGTGTCATCTGCTCACATCGGAAGCGGCCCGAGATGAACAACTGCAGGGCGAGGAACCGTCTCTGCAGGATCCGGTACAACGTGGTGTCTGTGAAGGTGGAGGCCAGATCCAGGCCGGCAAAGATGGTGTCATAAATCTCATCCAGCAGCAGTTCCAAACCTGAGGAGAGAAGCAGGGGTTTCCAGGGGTGGCGTCCTTCAGAAAGGACGCCCGAGCCTGCTGGGCAAGCCCAAAGGACAGGGGCTGCCCCGGCTGCCTGGTGCTTCATGCCACTACTGTAGTCCTTTCCAAAGTCACGGTCGCTCACGGCTCTAGAGGGCACTGCTGCAGGAGTAGGGGAAGCTGGAAGCCCATCCTGGGCTCCACTCACTGAGCTGGGGGCTGCACCTGCCCAACAGGGGGCGCCGTTTCTAGTATGCCCAAAGCCACCGCACGGGCTGGGGGCTGTGGTCTTCAAATGACCACAGGTGAAAGCTTGCTCCGGCCATGTCCTGGTCACACCCACAGTAGTTGACGAAGAGGGGCAGGCTTTGGGAATTCTGCTTTAGGGGTAATAGGAGGGAGCTCTCACTCCGGGAGACTCCCCTGCCCACCCTTCAGGTTACCCCAGGGGGACTTACTTACCTGTCTCGGCCAGTTCCCGCCCTTGACTGTCAGCACAGTGACAATACCCAGACACATCGGGGAACCTGCTCCGGAAGGCCCTGAAGGTCACAAATGCCTCTGGAAACCTGAGAGGGGGGTGATTTATGGTCACCAGGCAGGGCCCCATGGGCTCAGCCTGGAGAAATATGTGAGCAGAGCCAAGGCCCCATCTGGGGAGACGAATGTCTGCGTGGCGTCTCGTTCCATTGGCTCCGCTCCCGCGGCAAACGGATTCCCTGCCTGCTTTGGCTTTACCTGGCCAGACCTTTGGAAACAAGGCTGGTCTTGGCCGTTTCCGCACTCACGCTCGCTGTCTACCGGCAGGCTCTGCAACCGCGGCGCTCTAAGGCAGGCTGAGACAGGTTGGAGCCTCATGCTAACTGGCTCCATTGCTCCAACATAACTCAACAAACTGGAGGCCAAGTTTGCATTGTAAATGTATGGCTCATCGCATATGCTCTTGTCTGAGCCCTGGTGATGTAGTGGTTATATTGGCTGCTAACCACAAGGTCAGCAGTTCGAAACCGCCAGCCACTCCTCAGGAGAAAGACGAGGCTTTCTACTCCCCAAAAGGGCTACCGTCTCAGAAACCCACAGGGACAGTTCTTCCCTGCCCGACAGGGTCGCTGTGAGTCGGCATGGGGGATCCGATGACACCAGGGCCTGAAAAACTTATGAAGGGCTTGAAAGGAGACAGAGTCCACCCTCAGACATCTCTAAAGAGGGCATCCCTCGAGCGAGCCCATCATCCAACATCCAGGATCGTCTGATCTCCCCGTCCAATGCAGGAGAGAATGTCTAGGTCCTGGGGGCTGGGCGGTCACTCTGGAAGATAGCTGGCTGGGTTCGCCATCTTGGAAGTCATAAGATGCAAAACCCCCAAACCCAAACTTACTGCCATCAAGTTGACTCTAACTCCTAATGGTCCTATAGGACCACCCGTGGGTTTCTGAGGCTAGCTCGACAGGAGTAAAAAGCCCCATCTGTCTCTTACAGTACAGCTAGTGTTTTCAAACTGCTGACCTTGTGCTAAGTAGCCCAACGCATAACCACTACACCACCAGGGTAGGAGACATAAATCCAGACTGAGGGCTGCTTCCTGTGTACAAGACAGTAAGAGCCGCAGAGAAATTCTTGCCCTTACCCAACATTGAGGAATTTGTTTCCATGCTGTCTACACAGCATGAGCTCCAACCATAATATGTGCCCCCGTAGTTCTAGAAAGACTACCCCAGTTAATAAGGGAGCTGTCTGCACACAGCGGCCCTGCCTGTGGTCTCTCTGCTAGCAACATATTGAGATCAACCGTATTGCCCACAAAGTCTCTTCAATGGAATGAAATACTGCGATTGAAGCAAAGTCTCTTCAATGGAATGAAATACTGCGATTGAAGACAATATTTGCCAACCTCCAGCTCAGTGGTTCCCACCCTTCCTGATGCCGCGGCCCTTTAATACAGTTCCTCACAAAGTAATTTTCGTTGCTACTTCATAACTGTAATTTTGCTACAGTTATGAATCGGTCGACCCCTGTGAAAGGGTCGTTAGGGGACTACAGCTACTACTAGGTGAGTGAGCTAGTCTTGGAAGTCGATATCCCTAGCAGCTGCTCAAAGCCCAAGCGTGGCAGTGCGTGAGATGTGTTTTGTCTGGTTTTCCATTTAATGATTCACAATAAGTTGGTTTGAATGAGCAGGAGGCAGTCATAGAGCGTGCAAGGCAATGGGGCGCTTGTATGTGACCCTTTTTGACATTCTCTCAACACTCCCACTAAGTGACAGGGTGGGGGTCTGAAAATAGGCACGTGTGGCCCCCCAGAAGTGTGTAGCTTGCTAACAATGCAAAAGAGGGGCACAGTGCGCTTGTAAGGACGGGACCATGGGAATAAGGTTTTGGAACTCTAATGAGGGCATTGGCCACTTTTGTCATTCCATCAGACTCAACATGAGCCACCCAGAGGCAGAAGGGGGACTCCACGACTACCCAGTAAAACAAGCTGGAGAGAAATACACACTCTGGACTCGGGGTTCCCGTGTGGAGAACCTCCTAGACCCAGAAGGCAGGGCGAGAGCCGTGACAACACAGATGGTGACAAGTTGTGTCAGGGAATCTAGCAGCAGGAGGACACTGGTATGACACAGTGTGGTGGGCTTCCAGCCCATAGAGCAAGGTGCATACGATAAGTGGGCCAAATTGTCGGGTGAGATAGCTGAGTGCTTTAGGGTCAAGGCTTAATGGAGGAGTGGGGTGCCTCTGGACCCACTGGTGGAGCTAAGCAGGCCAGGCCAAGGTGCTGAAGGACCAAAGGCCAAAGAAACTGCTGTCTGCAGATAAAGCTGGGAGGCTTTTCTGATCAAAGAACTGTGTCCCAAGTTGTTCCTGATCCTGAACCATAGCCTGATACTTCCCAATAAACCCCCTATCATGAATATTGTTTGAGTTCTATGTAGACATTGCTAAGTTACCAAAGCTAGCAGAGAAGTAGAGTGAACTGTGGGAGGAACAGCCCACATCAGATTGAAAGAGGATGTATGTTGGGCCTCAACGCAAGTACTCCCTCAACACAAGAATACTTTGTTCTAATTATCCAGAATTTTATGATGTTCACCTTCATGATACCATCACTGAAGACAAAGTGGGTGCATAAGCAAATGTGGTGAAGAAAAATGATGGTGCCCGGCTATCAAAAGATATAGCATCTGGGGTCTTAAAGGCTTGAAGATACACAAGCAGCCATGTAGCTGAGAAGCAACAAAGCCCACATGGAAGAAGCACACCAACCTGTGTGATCATGAGGTGTTGATGGGATCAGGTATCAGGCATTTAAGACCCACAACAAAATAAAACCCAATGTGAATTTGGGGGGAGGGAAGAAGCTGGAGTGGAGACCAAAAGCCCATCTGTAGATGATTGGACATCCCCACAGAGGGGTCACAGGGAAGAGATGAGCCAGCCAGGGTGCAGTACAGCACCAATGAAACACACAACTTTCCTCTAGTTCTTTGGTGCTTCCTTCACCCCACTATCGTGACCTCAATTCTACCTTACAAATCAGATTAGACCAGAACATGCACACTGCTACAGAGAAGAGCCCGCAACACAGGGAATCCAGGATAGATAAACCCCTCAGGGCCAACAATGAGAGTAGGATACCAGGAAGATTAGGGGAGGGTGAGGGGAGAGAGGGGGAATCGATCACAAGGATCAATATATAACCCCCTCACAGGGGGACAAACAACAGAAAAGTGGGTGAAGGGGGACAGAGGACAATGTAAGATATGAAAATAACCTATAACTTATCAAGGGTTCATGGGGGAGGGCGAGCAGGGCAGGGAGGGGGGAAATGAGGAGCTGATACCAAGAGCTCAAGTAGAAAGAAAATGCTTTGAAAATGGTGATGGCGGCATATGTACAAATGCGCTTGACACAATGGATGATTGTGTGGATTGTGATAAGAGATGTAAGAGCCCCCAATTAAAATATTAACCAAAAAAAAGAATAAAAAGAAAAGAGAAAGTATGTCTGATTGTGACTTCCCCTCCCACCCATTCCATGTAGTTGAGGAGGTGAGAAGCCCCGTGTAACAAAACACAAAAACATTGTTACACAGGGGGCCTATATAAAAGTCCATTTGTTGGAACCTGAGATAATTCCATCCGACAAGTGATGAAAAGTATTACTTCTATCATCCCCATTTGAAAGAGTAGAGAAGGCCACCATTTCGAACGTCTGGAATGATGGGTCAACCACCATGTGACACCTGCCTCTTGTCCACCACATGACACCTGCCTCTGCTACAGGTGTGAGCCAATAAGCTGGTCGGACCTGGTTCTGACCCCGTAGTCTCCAAGGCAGGACACCACACATTGACATGCTTCTCCCTGAGCCAAACCTGCAACATGACAGCTGCGAAGGACACACGTGTTGGTGAGCACATGGATGGGGCCCTGGGTGGTCTGCATGTCAGGCTTACACCCACCGAGCATGTGTCACCCACTGTGATCGAGCAGCTTCTGCCCGGTAGGACAGGGTCGAACTTCCCCCAGAGAGCTCTCCAAGGCTGACAGGCTCACCTTTCCTCCATGAAGCAGTTGGCAAATTTGAACTGCCAACCTTCAGGTTGTCGGTCACGCACACAATCGCGGTGCCACTGGGGCTCCTTGGCAGCTGGCAGAGGAAGTTTCAATCGCTCTGCCTCTATCTAATTCACCCCACAGACCCACCTCATCGTCTCACTTCGGAGAAGACGTGCCCGCCAGGCCCTCCAGCCTTCTTCCCTCCACCTGTGGTCAGAGTCCCGGCATCCAGGTTTCTGGTCTCGGATGATGTCTAGTGCCGGGGTCTGCCAGTGCTTTCTGCATGGACCTCACACCCACCATCCCCCCTTCTGTATCTTGGATAGCACCCTGGCTTCAGCCGGAAGGAGAAGGCTCTCCCACCTTCCCAGGAAGACCCCCTGAAAAACAGTTCCTGCCACTAGGGCTCTTTGGGGCCATCCTGCGCTCTCCTTCAGCACAGACCCCCAGCACTGCCAACTCCAATCCCTCCTTGTCAATTCCGTTTCCATGGAGAAGAGCTGAAGGCCCGGAGCAGAAGGAACTCCGGCCCCCGAGGGTTAGTGCCGTGAGCAGGACAAGTATAGACAGTATCTAGTGATGCGCATTTAACCAATGGACACTGCACCAAATGCTCGCCATAATGTATCTCATTTAACGCTCACGACAATGTTTGTTAAAGATCTCCGCTCCACAACTGTGAAAGGTGGGGCTCGGGGTGGTAACGTGATTGGTTCAAGACCAGCCAGCCCAAACCAGAAGTCCAGTGTCCAGTTCTCCGCCAACAACAACAGCTGCGTGGGTGGTGCGGGTACCACTGTAAGAGACCCCTTAGCGCGGTTTCCCCTATCTGTGTAGCAGAAGTTGACTCCCCATTGAGACATGGCTTCTTACGTCGCCGGCAAAACTAGGCGTAATTACCAGCGACCTTCTTCAAGAACCAAAGGGGAACTACCTCAAATGCCCAAACACCAGGTCAACGGTCCAGGGCAAAGCACCACCCAGCATGGTAGCATTCCACAGCAGGTTGAAAAGGGAGCTTCCACAGGCATCCAAGCCTCCTGGGGCCCCAAGGAAGACAGTCAATGGCCTACTCCACTTCTACCCTTGAATTTCCGAAAATTACGTTTTCCGAGGCAATGTTCCAAAACCAAAATGTATGGTCTTTCTTCCCATTTGGAACCAACCCTTGATGCCTCCCCTGCCCTTCACACTCCCTCTCTGTTCCTTCGACAAGCTCTGGGGCTTCTTCCTCCTGAATAGTTCTCTATCCCCACTGCACCCCACCCCTCCCCTCCACTGTTCTCCCGTCACCTTGTCTGACCCAAGCCTGCATCTCTCACAGTGCAGTGCCCCCACTAACTCATGGGCGCCCCCTCCTAGCACCCACTCAGCTTTTTCTCCACTCCTCTCTACTCTCTAGCCAACGCCATGTGCTGGCAAGTAACAGTCAGTACAGCGTGGCCCACCAGCAGCACAGTGCAGGCCATCTCAGAAGAAATACGCCAAGACGCTCCTCAGCCCTGCACGTTGGGCACACCAACGACAGGTCAACCGCGAGAAAAGGACTCATGCTTGCTCGAAGGTCAGCCAACAGAGCAGGGCCACCCTCAGTGAGACAGATTGACACAAAAGCCGGAAGAGTGGGCGCAAACCTGCGGGCCATGTGGAAGATGGTGCTACGTGTCGCAGCCAACTGGACAGCATGGATCAGTACCCACATCTTTCAAGACCCACTTCTGAAGGTTAAGATACTCCCTAGGGTGCCTGGGGTCTGTGAGTCTTGGTGCAACAGTAGGGCCTTGCTTCTCCCAAAAAGTATTCCGTCTCTTACTCCGTAGAGCTGGGCCTCCTGAGTGTCACCTGGCGGTGGGCCAGGCATGCAAGTGGTCAGAGTAAGCTCTGGTCTCTGTGGCTCCCAGTGGAACCCCCGAGCCAGCCGGGGGCTGCTCCGGTCTAGCGTATCAGAAAATGCCTGATTACAGCTAAGCTGCCAGGAACCAACCCCCTGACCCTTCCCAGGACCTTCCTACAGGAGAATTTTCCCAGGGACATTCTTGCTGGCAAAAATCAGGACCGTATCCCATTTCAGAAGGGCCTTGGGTTTGAACAATGGGGCTCAGTGCAGGACACTTGCTCTTCACTCCACTGCCCCCTTTTGGAAGCGGCTGGAATCGTTCCCCCACATGGGCACCACCTACATGTTCTCCCCAGAGCTCACCTATTCTATTCGGTGAGCACGGATTGCAAGCCTTCTGTGTGCGAGCTCCGTGCTTCCAGGTGTCAGGGACCTGCGACTCACCGACCGAGGCAGTGGGGGTTAGTGAAGGAAGCCAGCGAGCTCCAGCGCCCACTCTAGCACAATCGCCTCAACCACCGCGTCACCAAGCCACCCTGCAATGCTTCTGAGGACCAGTTCCTCAACCTCTCTGTCTCCCCAAGTCCTCGTTTGTATGCTGCACGCCGTAATTATCAAGGTACTTTGGTAAATATTAAAGTGGGCAGAATCCCCCTAAAAAATCCAAGCTAATAAGTACATAAACAAACTCACTTGCCCATAGTGACCCTCTAGGACAGCAGTTCTCAACCTGTGGGTTGCGGCCCCTTTGGGGGTTGAACGACCCTTTCACAGGGGTCGCCCGATTCCTAACAGTAGCAAAATGACAGTGATGAAGTATCAACAACAATAATTTTATGGTTGGGGGGGTCCCCACAACATGAGGAACTGTATTAAAGGGGTGCGCGGGGTGCTCGGTCCAAATAGAACAGAGGACCGCCAAGCCCCTTGAGAAGACATACTGCCCCATGCCCGGCTTGCTCTTGAGATCCAAGAATTCAGAACTGCGTGTGTTAGGTAAAACAGAATCAATGATGCTCACCTATAGATGACCTATAAAAACAGAAAGTCCTGGTGTCAACCTAATCAGATATGAAACATGTGATATCGTTTAAACCAGGCAGGTCCAGGGGCAGCTGTGGGTCACAGGGGCTGGCAGGAGGGAGGGTCTCCTCTCTCTCACAGTCCCACTGCCAGTGAGCACACCCACAGCAGCCCCATGGGACAGAGTAGAGCTGCCGCTTAGGATTCCCAAGACACTCGATCTACACATGAGTGGACAGCCTCAGCTTTCTTCCTCAGAGTGGCCGGTGGGTTTGAACCATTAACCAAGTGGTAGGCAGCCCAATGCTTAGCCCTCAGCACCACCAGGGCTGCTTCACATGGGGGGCGATGCCAATTATTTCTAGAAGTCAGTCACTCAGAGGCTCAGGCTTACTCGGGATCTTCTTTTACTTCTTAAACCTGGGCATGGCCTTTAACACAAACATGTACCCGTGTAAATAACTACCAGGTGCCTGGTTAGCCGGCTGAACCCTAGAATAAACTCTTCACGGGAATAGAAAGCCTCATCTTTCCCCATCAGACCCCCTGGTGGATTTGAACGGCGGGCTTGCAGTTAGCAGCCCCAGGTGTAACATGTGTCTGAGTTGACCTACACGCTGCAGTTTTCAACGTGGGTTTTTCAGAAGTAAATTGCATGGATGAGAACGTCCAGCCTCTGGCTAGCAGCCAGGCACATGGGCCACCTGTGCCCGCCCCACCGGAGACCTCTTTTCTGCATGCCCCCCTCCTCCCACTCCTGTTTCTGCACAGGCCAGGCTCTCCAGGGTGGCCTGCGTCTGTGATCATCTCGCTGTGAGTCAGCAGGGACTCGATGGTAGTGGTTTGAGGGCATGATGGCCTGATTGAGCCTGCCTCCCCCGGGGCAGTCACTGCCCGCAGAGACGAGCACACACCGCCACATGACACATTACAGACAGGGTCTTGTCTCCTTGTTCTTTAACAAAAATAAAAGGGTAACAAACCAGAATCTCATCAGACTATCTGCCCCTAAATGCAACGCGCATCAAGGAAGTCTCGAGGGCGGATCCTTAAAGCACAAGGCGGCAATGAGCATGAAAGATGCAAAGAGCATCCCATGGTCTGCCAACGCTTTGAAGCCCCCTGGTATTTATTCAGCCACCATCTGAACGCTGACCACCTTGTCCCCCCCTGGTGGCCATGATGGGGCATGGCGGCGTTGGCACACTAGTGCGATGCCTTCTGTCTGCCAGGTTCACTCCTGTGGGATGGCCGTGCAGGGGACATGCAGGCTCTTTCATGGCAATTGCTAGGTCGCGTGGATGCAGGTGCAGGAGCACTGCGATGGCCAGCAGCAGGGCATCCACCCTCCAGCGCTCCCAGCCAAACCCCCACCCCCACCCCCGACCTCCCAACCCCCATGAGAACAGGGGCATTAACAGGAGATGTGGAGGAAGGCGGGTGCAGGGATGGGCTAACCCCCGAGACCAGCCGGCTGCCCTTACCGGTTGTAGCTCTGGACCAGGTCGAAAACCATCATGTCTGTGGTGTTGACGAACTTGCACTGCACCGGCATGAACTCGCCCCCTGCAGAGCACTGGGGGGGCGACTTGTCCCCCACCCCGTGGAGAAGGCGGCGGTTTCTTATCTCACAGCTCCGGGGACCTAGACAGTTCCCAAGGAAATGGACTGAGTGAGTGCATATACCGCTGGGAGTGTGACTCCTGCCGCCAGGACGCCTGGGACCGTGAGAGACCTAAACAGCGACTCAGGTCAGCAAACTCGCACCGGGAGCCCTGCCGAGGCTTCCAACGGTCAGCCAGGAACACTGGCCATCTGCCGGATGGGGACGTACAGCGTCAGGCAGCCGTTCAAGAAGACCCCCTAGCAGCAGTTTGGTGGTTCAGTACCAAACGCCCGTCCAAACCAAGCCCCAACCCCCCACCACCACTACATCCACCCCAACGGGCAGTCCCCTGAGCAGGGTTTCCAAGACTGCGGGCATGTTCTCCTCCCCGTCCTCCCCTCCCTCCACAGCCCAGCTGCTCCGTATCCATCACACTTGGCTCCTTTCGGCGGGAGGACCTTTCCCTCGTTGTGTAATAGTGGTCTCGTGCAGCACTGGTCTTCGTGAGCTTGACCAGCTTCAGCCAGCACGGTGTCGACGTGTCCTGGCAGTGTCATCGTTGTTCTCGAAGGAGGCAGAGTATCTCCTTACATGTCTGGGCAAGAGTGGGGCTGTCCGTTCCCCCACCGAGCGCCCCGAGGTTTCTCCATCTGTCTGCCTTGGTGACCAGGGCTGCGGTAAGCAGGGGGTGCGTGTATCTGTGAGCGCTGCTGTGCTCAGTTCTTGAGGGGAGGTGCCGAGAAGAGAGATTCCTGGGTCTAGACTGCAAACCTTTATGGGAACAGATGGCCTCCTCTTTCTCCCTCTGAGCAGCTGGTGGGTTTGAACCGCTGACCTTTGTGTTGGCAGCGAGCGAGCGCTTTAGCCACTGGGCCACCAGGACTCCATTCATTGGCTGCCTGCCTGCTGTTTGTCAAGGAGGCCTGGGAGCTCCGTCTGGGGTGTGGACATCTGCACACGCCCTCCCTCCCTCCCTGGGGCACAGGGTGGGGGTGGAGGGGGGCTCTGTGACACTTACAGCGGCTCGGCCTGCCCCTCTGGCGGGTCCCGTACACCTCCATGCCCTCGGCATCCACACACCAGCACTGAAGCTGCCACAGGTCACACTGGACGGGCGAGTAGTCCCCTGAGTCCTGACACTGGGGCAGGTAGGTCGTGGTCGTGCTGTTAACATAGCCGCTCAGCAGGACGCGCTGCCTTTGCAGCTGGCAGGAGGACAGGCCTGCGGTGCAAAGAGCTGAGTCGGAGGGCAGCCGGGGGCACACGACCCCAGGCCTGAGCCCACCCAACTTGGGAGCCCTCTCTGACGCAGAAGTGACCCAGCCCCGCTCCCACGGGACCTTGGGCTTTAGCTCCTGGGTGGGCAAGTCAGAGGAGGGTTCCTCTCACACCCGGGTCCCCAGAGAAGCTCGGTGGGGGCATGGGGAGTCGAGGAGGGGGTGCCTGCACTTGTTTCTCCCAGGGATCACCTGTTCAGCTCAAGGCCTCATTTCCCCATCAGTCAAAGTGAAGTAGAACAGCCCCCAGCCGGTGTTCTGAGACTACATGCTATTAATCACAGTGATTGCTATGGGATCCCCCAAAGAGCCCAGGTGGCGTGGGGAGATAAGCATCAGAATGCTAAGCAGTTCAAACCCCCGAGCCCCTCTGCAGGAGAAAGAAGAGGCTGCCTGCTCCGCTCCTTTAATGATTTAGTCTTTGAAGCAGCTAGATGGCAGTGGTTTGTTTTGGGTTTGAATTATTGCATCCCTACTATGTGACTGGTGATACAAATGCTCCCTACCAATTAAAAACAAAAACCAGTAAACCCATGACCTTCCAGTCAACTCTGCCTCCCATCAAGCCCATGCTAGGGTAGAACCTAGCTCCATGGGGTTTCCCTTTTTTTATTATAAAAAATAATTGATTGGGGGCTCTGACATACAACAACCCATATATCTATTCTATCAAACGGACACGTATAAATGTGGCCATCAACAATTCAAAACATTATCTTTCTTCTTGAGCCCATTGTTATTAGCTCCTCTTTATTCCCTCCCTTGCCCACCCTGCCACCCTCTTGAATCCTTAATGTATTATGTATTGTTATTATTATTTACACACGTCTTACACCGCCCAGTCTGTCCCGGTGTTCGTCCCCCTCAAGGGGCAGTTTTCTGCCATCATTGCTCTCTGGTCCCCTTTCCACCCCTCTCCCCCTTCTCTTCCCCTACCCTCCTGGAATCATTACTCCCATTACTGTTTCTGAGGGGTTTGTGTGTCCTGAATTCCATATATTGAAAGCTCTTGTCTGTACCAATGTATGTACCAAGGGTCTAGCAGGATATTCGGGGTAGCACTGAGATCATAATAGTGGGGGAAGGAAGGATTAAAGAACTAGGGAAGTGTTGTGTGTTTCATCAATGCTAAACTGCCTCCCCCCACCGATGTATCTTCTCTTCAATGTGGGGCCTCATTGTGGGTTTTCCATTTTTTGTGGAAGGAAATTGCCAGGCCTTTGTCCCGTAGCAGCAATGGGTGGGTTTGAATGGTCAACCTCTGGAGTGGCAGATAATCACAAACTATTTATGTCACACAGGGACCCTGGGCTCCTGCTCTTCACTGCAGAATTGATTCTGGCCCAAACCAAACCCACTGCCATCAAGTGATGGGTTCTGCTTCAGATCGACCCTGTCGGATAGAGCAGGGCTGCCCCGTGGAGTCGCCCAGGCTGCTGTCTTTACAGACGGATACTGTCTCAGCTCTCTCCTAGGGAGTGGCTGGTGGGCTTGAACCACTAGCCTTGCAGTTAGCAACACAACATGCAGCCTACTCCACCACCAGTGCTACTCCACCACCATCCAAGTCCCAGCCTGCCATGGTTAAGGGACGGCTTAGAATGAGCCTTGTTCTCAGATTCACTGAGCTGTCCGTGGAGTTTGTGTTTCCCTGGCCAAGCAGCGGGATAACATTGGAACCGGTCAGTTTTCACCAAGTCCCAATATCTGGCACCACCTCCAGCCCGGCCATGCGAGAAAGCACCGTTCCAGGGCTGGGAGCTCACATCATTCATGGCAGCACACGAAGGGCTCAGAGGCCACTGGCCCTGCCCAAACGGCTGCCTTACTGGATCTTCTCTGCTGGCCTGTGGACAATGGGCCGAGCGGACAGGGACAAATCTCTTTCAAAGAGGAGGAGCCAGAGGGGAGCGTGACCAGGTGACATCCACCCACAATGACTGTCCCACTGCCCCCTTTTATGCTCCTGTCTCCCCACCCCCATCACACTGGCCACACTTACAAGAAGCTGGCCGTCCAGGCTGCCTGCTGCCCGGCACCTCACCACCGTCGGCACCCACACACCAACAGGTGCGGCCCTCCTTCAGGCACTGGACAGTCCTGGGAGCAGAGATGCACAGAGCAGGTGAGCGTGGCTCCCCAGCCACCAGCCGGCCCCGACCTAAGCATGTTCGTCTTGCCACCAGCCAAGCTGCACTGACCCCTGTTTGCCAGAGAGACTGTGGGAGACCCGGGATCTGGGCATGGGCTTAGGCTGGGCACCTGCAGGGGCACCTGAGCATGTAAGAGAGTGGAGAGGTGGGCCTGTGTCCCCACACACAGTGGTGGGAGGGGACAAGCAGGACCCATGTCCACCACAGTGGGTGGGGAAGCCCTCCATGAGCTGAGGGCCCAGGAGAAGGCAGACATGGGTGCACCGAGAGCACATGGGTGGGCCCAGGCTGGGGTGGAGCAGGGTGGTTAGACGAGACCCTCATCTCGGAGAGATCATCTATTATACTGGGGAGGGGGGAGGGATGGAACAAAAGAGAACTGGGGACCTGTCCACAAAGGCAGTACCTGCAAAGCCCCAAGGGGCAAGGGGGCCAGCTTGAAACTGCCAGAGACTGGACCCAGGGAGGCTGGTCACACAAAAGACCCCTTAACTGCTGCCTGCCACTCCCAATTCCGTGAGATCCTGGCTGGGGCTGGGCTGGAAGCAGGGCTCAGCTCCTGTGAGACCTCCCTCTGAGAGTGCCAGGCTACGTGCACTAAGGGGGCCTGGGGGTACAGTGAGCGGGTTCCCTGAGTGAGGCAGCCGTCAGCACAGTGAGGCTCTTCTGGTGTGTGTGGGGCACGTCAATGAATGCATTTCAAAGGACTCTGGTCCATTCCAGCGAGGGGGACTGTTTAGGGCATCAGCTCACCCTGCTCAGTGGGCACCTGGCGCCAAGTGTGTCCTAGGGGGGCTGGAAACCCATTAGAGGAGCCAGCAGGGTGGCCCAGAGAGCAGAATGGATGGGAGTCCTGACCACAGGGACCTCGCCTCCCTCCATCTGGGACCGTGTCACAGGGAGGGTACATGCAGACAAACTAATTAGTTCACCCTCCTCCCCGTTTAAAAGAATTACAGTATAAGCTTTACCAGAGGGCTGCCATTGGAACCACGGCTGTGGGGGCTCCCTCCCAGGTATGCCCAGCATACCCCACAGGACAACCCAAGCCAAAGCAAACCCCGGCTCTGAGACCCAAAGCCCAAGACACAGCCCCAGCCCCCTGCCGCTGCAACACAGCCTTACTGGAAGCTGCCATCTTCTGAGCACTGGGGCACATAGTCAGCCTGCGTCAGGAAAGCCTTTTCCCGCTGCAGCTCGCAGGGCCGGAGGGGCTGCGCGTCCACCTGGTATTCTGCGAGGAGGCAAGGGGGGTCGTCAGAGAAGACCCTGGGCTGGGTTTCAGCACAGTGGAGGCAGACACTGTGAGCACAGGGGCTGGCCCGTGGTTTTCCTGTCTGTCTGTAGAATGGTCCTCACCATCACAGCTTAATGTGCACCTTAAATGCTGCACCTTCGTCCACTTTTCCAAGAATGTGCCTTAGTATATTTCATCCTCAGAACAGCTCTGAGAGGGGCTAACCTCAGGGCAGCCATGTGGCAACAAGTCTCACCTGCCTGAGGATACACCTGCCTAGGGATATATCTGTGAATGGACGCACCTGTCTAGGGATATGCCTGCCAGCGAATCACCTGCCTAGAGACACACTTGTCCAGCTATACAACTGCCCACTGACACACCTGCCCACAGACACACCTGCCCAAGGACACACATTCCCAGAGACACACAGCTGAAAAATTAAGCACTCAGAGCAACCCCAGACTCCACGTTCCCCTGAGCTGCTGTTGGGATCGAGTTACTCCCTGCAGACAGAGCCTCTGGCAGGGACGACGGAGCAATGTCCCTTCATTACTAACTGCAGTGGACAGGCAGTGGGGGGCGGCCGTGACGGTCAAAATGAAAGAGCCACACGTGTGGTGAAGGGGGGGCTGTTAACAGGATAGTGTCGGTGATTTAATGAGATGGGGCATGCAGCCACATGGAATAGCTTTTCCTTTGTATGATATATATATATACATATATATATGTATATATATATGTATATATATATCACAAACAAAAGGGGAAATGTGTACATAAATACATTTCAAATGACTAAGGGTAAGATCCAGAGGTCACGGCCTTAAAAACCCTCCTGACTGCTGACCGTGAGGATCTAAGCGCTGCTCTGCTCTGAGAGGCCACAGAAGGAGGGAAGTCCAGAGGAAGTGGACTTCAGGGGCGGACAAGTTCCTTTCATACACACATACACACACATACACTCACGTACGCGTGGGCCGTTTCTGCCCCCGGAACATGGGTGACCTGGCAATCCAACTCAAAGATCGCAGCCATTTGCTTGTCCAACGAGGGCGCCCAGGCTGAGAAGCCACGGAGCTTCTAAGGGGCCCAAGTAGGGCTGGGTCTGAGCTCCACTCACCCACAAGTAGACTGACCTGTCCTACCTGTTGGCTACCTCTCACACACCTGGCGAGGCTGGCCTGGGCCTAGGGATCACTAAAGCCAAACTAACCCTAACCCACAGCCATTGAAGGGCAGAGCAGAACTGCTCCATAGGGTTTCCCAGGCAGCGCAGCGTGCTGAAAGCGGACAGTCTCATCGGACACCTGCACAGCAGCTCATGGGCTTGAACCGCTAGCCTGGGGGTGAGCAGCCCAAGCTCCCATGGGGTAACTAAGAAGAGAAAAACAGCCAATCTTGATGTCAAAGGTTGCTAAAAGGGCCCTTGTGGGAGGTGTTGTAGGGGGGGCTAGAACTGAATTAGGAAGATCTGGTTGTCCGTCTCGGCTCTGTGACCTCCGTCCTGCAGCTCAGCTCTCTGAGCCTCAGCCTCTTCTTCTGAAAAGTGGAAAAGCAGTAAGCCTGGCCTTCACGCACGATGAGGGTAAAACGAGGTCTCAGGTGCTCCTGGTGCAGGGTCAGAGGCCAGCAGGAGCTAGGAGCCCCAGGCCTGAGCCCTCCCTCCCTGGCCCCCTCCCCAGACCCTCCCCTGCCCATGTCCTTGGCTCCAAACTCACCAAAGATGTTGCCCCTCACAGAGCTGGCCATGGCCAGCAGAATGAAGGCCCACAGAGCCAGGGCCATTGTCCTGGCTCCTTCCCGGGATGAAGGGGTAGAAGCCACTGCCCACAGGTTTCTCTGGCCACGGAGCCTTTATAGGGCTCCTGCTGGCAACAGCTCTCCAGGACACCCAGGAATGTGGCGGCCCCTCTATTTGCTTTGTGGGTCATGGGAGGCTCTCTCCACTGAGCCCACACCCTCTGGGGACACTTGTGTGCGCAGTCGGGTGGGAGGACTGTGTCTGTCTCCAGGGGACAGAGCGGGGCAGGGTCCCTTGGGATGCCTCCGCCCAGAAGAAGGAGAAAGCGCTGAGCCTCGTGGGTGATGGGCTGGGGTCCCCACTCGGGAAAAGCGATTCCTTCCTTTTCTCGCCCCCCTCAGCCCTGCCTGCTTCCCCCTGGATCAGAGCTGACGTTCCAAGCTCCGGGTCGTGATTGACAGGGCCTCCCAGAGAGCTTCCTGAGCATGGACTAGCAGTGAGAAGAGTGGTGCCTGCAGGTAGAGCATGCATGAAAGTGGGTTACCACCACCCGAGCCAGCCCAGCCAGGGCAGCCTCACCCTCAGGGACTTGCCTTGGGGGCCCTTGATGGAAATGGGGGACTAGGGTCGCATGGTCATGAGCCTGACCCTGACTGCCTTGCTCCGACAGAGGGTCCTGCTCAGATCACCTGGAATTTTCTCATTGGCAATCGTGTCTGTAACCTACTCAGGGCCCCTTTCCTGCTTCTGGAGGTCTCCCTCCAGTGGGCACTCCATTAAGCCCCTGATTTACTCCCCTTGCTTCCTCTGGACCTCTGTCCAGAACTTGCAGTGGCCCCGGCTGCTGGAGCCCCGCATGCGTCAGAGCAGAGCTGAGGTCAGGAGAGTTTGGGAGGCTGTGACCTTTCAGAGCAGATGGATCAGCACACCACACACGGACCCCAACTTGAGTCTCCGCACTGCACCTCCTGGACTGTTCCTCCTCGGTGACAGTGACCCCCACAACCCCCCAAACTCCCTGCAAGCCCTCATTCCCATGTCACCCTCCTCTCCATCCTCACCACCCCTCCCCTGCCTTCAGGCCCTGCAGCCTCTGTGCCAGTCTGCCAGCCAAGTGAATCCGTCAGAGAGACCCCGTAGGGCCGAAGAGAGATGCCCCTGTGAGCTGCCAAGTCTGTAATCTTTACTGGAATAGCTCTTGGGGGGGTGGCGAGATGTGCTGCTCAGGGCAAAGTCAGCAGTTCAAACCCACCAGCCCCCACAAGGAAGAGAGATGAGACTTTCTGCTCCCCTAAAGAGCTGCTGCCTCGGATCTCCACAGGGGCGGTTCTACCAAGTCCTAAGGGCCGCCATGAGTCCGCATCAACTCGATGGCAGTGAGTCTGGGTTTGGGGAGTCTTTACGGTAGCAGACGGCTTCCTCTGCTTCCTCTTTCTCCCAGAGGATGACTGGTGGGTTTGAACAGCTACCCTTCTGGTTAGTAGTGAGATCACCACCTAACTGACCTCTCCATGTCCATCCCTGATTCTCCTGAGACGTCTTCTCCACGGGGAGGGGGGAGCCGAGAAGCACGGCCACCTGGTAAGGGTGGCTGTCCATTCCTGGGTGTTCGGGGGGTGGGGTGGGGGGCATCAGAGGGAGCACTGGGAGTGAGTGGAGGGGAGAGGGACGTGAGCATGACAGGGAAGGGCAGAGGGCAGGGGTCGGTGTCTAGTGGAGAAAGAAAGCCACCCAGCCATGCAGGGCCCCGTGCCCTGGAGACTGGTTCCTTCACCAGAGCTTCTGCTGAACACAGGGCCAGGTGTCGCCTCTCCTCCTTCCCCGGGGACACCAAGTGGGCATGTCACATGTGGCCCTCACCCTGAGACACTGGCCCTGTGCTGTGCTGTGCTGAGTCACGCTCTCTGGCCTGAGCCCTGGAGAACTCAGGGGGGTCAGCCCCTCCAGGTCCACGCCTGTCTGGGCTCCACTGGGTCTGGTGCCTCAGGGCCTCTGACCTTGGCCTCCCCCCAGTGAAGGGTGCTCGGGGGCAGCGGGCCCACTCGGCCCACCCCTGGAGTGGCAGTGCGTCAGCACCCAGTGAGCCAGAACACCTTCAGAACTAACAGTGGGGCCGAGCCCGCCCTCATGCCCCAGAAGAGAGGTGCTTCTCTCCACGCCAGCAACAGAGCGAGAACAAGGCCCCGCGGTCCTGCCTCACCGTGACTCAGCCCTTGGTCTCTGCTCCCTCCCAGTGGCCTGGAGATGGGGGAATCTGCCCCCACTCTTCAGGCAGGGTCTTCACCACTGGGCCCAGTCTCCCACTCTCCTTGGCTCCAAAGGCGGCTGAGACCCTCTCGTTCACCTCCTCCATGCCCTCAGAGGCACACAAACATCTGGACAACATGAGGAGCATTTCAAAGACAGCCGAGGGGGCTACTTCAAAATGAACCCAAGCTGTCACTGTGCCCACCGCTTCCCAGCTGCCCCCCCCTCCCCCCGCCTCTCAGGAGCCCCCTGAGAACACACCCAGATGGCCCTCAAAGCATATGTACATTCACCAATCCGGTTGCAGGCTTCAGCACATCCTTCTCAACGATGGACAAACCTACGCAGAACATCAGCGATGGCTGGACAAACTCAAAGCCTCCAACCCACGGGAGGTCGCCAACCCATGCAGAGCATCGCACCCGGCCAGAGCCACCTTCTGTCAAGAGCCCAGGGAGCATGTCCTAGGATCCCCAAACTCCAAACTCACTGCCACCCGCTGAAGTGGCATTTTGGGGGGGAATCCCTGGTGGCATGGTGCTTCCTTGTTGGGCTGCTCACCGCAAGGTCAGCAATTCAAACCCACCGGCTCTTTACTCCCATGAAGAGCCACAGTCTCTGACACTCAGCCAGGCAGTTCTACCCTCCCCTCTAGGGTCTCTCTGAGATGTCCCAAGACAGCTCCACAGTGTGAGAGGATGGAAATGAGCAAGATCTCTGGCCCCAGAGAATAAACTAGGAAATCAAAACCAGAAAGCCCTCGGGACGATCTCCAAACCCTGTAGAACTCTGCAGCGCAGTTCTAGATGAGAGAGGAGGTCCAAAGCCTCCCGGGCGTTCACGCGCTGGCTGCTGCCAGATGGGATGTCTTGAAACACGTCCCCACGAGCAAGGGAAGATGCCGGCAAGTTCTCCCAGGCATGCGCTGGGCTCAGTCTTAGGACGCCTTACACAAAGGAGCCCTCTGAACTTCCAGGGGGAACTATAGCTTCCGGGAGGGATCTGTCAAGCCATTTCGATCTTGGCAGCGAGGTTAGCCCGGGAAGTTATTTATGACAACAGGATGGAGGATCTCAAAGGGGTCGTCTTAATAGGTTTTCTTGGAGGACACAAAATAGTGCAGGGGACTTATCGGGCAGAAGGTTGAGTGTCTGACCACTCAGCAGTTCTCTGGGACTCCCCTGCCCCACAATACATCCGGTGGTCTTCACCCCTGGAAGTCCAGATTGGCTAACAATGGACAAAGGAGAGCTCACTCCTTCAGCGTGGACTTGTGACACCCCACATTAACTGTGACTTAGACGAGCTGTTTCACCACCCTGTGCCCCAGTTGCCTCCCCTAGAGAGCTGTAGTGTCATTCCTTCCCAGCCTCGCAGGCCAAAGTCATCACGAAATAGTCCAGTAAACAGTAAGTATCGTGACTGGCAGGTGGTAACACTCCATTTTACTTTTCTTTAGAAAAATGAGACCCTTCCGCAGTGGCAGCCTCAGACTCTAGCCTGCAGCTGGTGCCTTTCCGTGTCCCATTGTGGCCCGAGTACTACCCTCCACCCACCACCTTCCGTGAGGGGGTGTTCACAGCCTGTCCTGCCGTGGCTTCTGCCCTGAAATTTGGGATCCTCTGACACTTCTTTCTTGGGAAACTTTCTTCCTCGACCCCACAGCCACCTTCCCAGCTAAAGGGCTGTCCTCAACTTATGGAGACTTTTGAAGGGGTGGCCCTCTTGGTCTTGATGCTGGGTGCCGTCTAGTCAGCTCCAATTCAGTGACCCCCGTGCACAGCAGAATGGAACGCTGAGCCGTCCTGCACCATCCACACCACTGTTCTGTCGAGCCAGCCCTGAAGCCGCTGTGTCCATCCATGTCCTTGAAGCTCTTCCTCTGTTTCGGGGATCCTCTGCTTCTCCAAGGACTGGACCCCCTGATAACATGCCCACCATGCTCGGGACGCAGCCTCACCATCGTCCCTTCTAAAGCTGTCCTGATAGTTGAACTACTGGTGTCAGAGCGCTCAGCATTGCAGCCTCCCCAAGCTACCACCATAAGACAGACTGAGGCCAAGAGCTCCCCAAAGCATTGCTTGTAGCCCGCTGCGGGTCTCCTGGGTTCTGAGTAGTGTCTGTTGGGCTACACTGCCAGTACAGAGGGAGATCCTCTGAGACGGGCTTCTCGCACGTGGCATGATGTTTCCAAGGGCCATCCTTGTAGCATGCAGCAATACTGTGTGTTCTCACTGCCCGGGGATCCCATAGTAGAGTGGACCATATTTGACCTATCCATTCATCAGTTGGTGGGCAGAGGGCTGTTTCTACTTAGGGGGTACTATGAAAACCATAGCTCTGAATATTCATAAACATGTCTTCATGTGAACATATCTTGTCCTTTTTTTGTCGGTAAATCCAAATGGGACAAAATGGATTTTCAGGCAAAGACCATTACTAGAGATTAAGAGGATTATTTCAAAATGATACAAAATTATATCTGGGGAGGATAAAATATTTATAAATATATGCACACATAACCCCAAGGGCTAAAAAGATAGAAAAACTGACCAGAGTGAAGAGAAATTAATCTTGTGAATAGGGTTATATAGATTTGAAATACAGAGTTAGAAACTCTCTCCAGAATGAAAAACTTAACGCTAACAAAGATTCAATAGGCTGTAGGGCTCAAACCTAAGAACAGCCGTGAAGAAGGCACAGGACTGGGTGGTGTTCCTGTCGATTATAAATAGGGTTGCAATGGGTTACCATCGATGGACGGCACCTAACAACCACAGGGCTCATTGGCAAGTGC